TACAAGGAATTTCATTGCCAGAATGATATAAACAGAGGCTCATCCACCAACAAAAATAGTCCCACTTCCAAAATGTTATTTAGAAAACTGTAAACATTTTAAACAAATAACATTTTAATGCACAATGTATGTGCTGTGCTCTAACAAAAATAGAATAGTGGCCAACCTGACTTCCATTTTAAGTACATTACTAGAAGCATGTTTTCGTTTGTCATTTTCTGTTTATCTTGTGTTTAACTTGGAACACGTCCATCTTTGAAAATCAACACTAGATTTCCAAGTGCAGTTATATAGACTGTGAAACAACTGTGTTATTCTGAGTAGTTCAACGATCTGAACGGAATGAGTATTTAAAATTATTGCAAAGTGAATGCTGGGTGTGACCTCGTCCTCCCCAGAGCTGTGAGGGGGGCTGGGCTCCGTTCTCTCTCGCATTGATGGGTTATTTCTCATCCACGCCCGACAAATGGGATAGAGTGGCGTGGTGGTGCTGAACTGAGCCAAGTCCACACTGCGGTCAAATAACTTGATAACATAAGCATCTGATGGAGAAGATGAGACGTGGAGCACGTAAGAAAACAGGAAATGGGTCTTATGAGATCAAGACTTAAAAAAACCCCTTCTATTTATTTCTCTAAACCTTGGCTTGAAAAAAAAAAACTCCCTCAATCACCACACATGCTGAATGATATGAAAACCCAATGGTGTTTCTCAGAAATGATCAAACATTTTACTTATCTGTCAGATATAAAATTGCTTTTAAACACAGGGAGAATTCAAATTCTGCACTTCGTGCCATTCATTTCAAATTGACCTAAATTCAAAGTATACATAACTATTTGCGCTTTCCCTTACTTGGTTATTAAATACACACAATTTTAAAATAAAACAAAGACCAATGTAAGTAGCTGCCAGCCACAGTAGCTGATAGTAGATAAAATAAAATTACCTGCCACTGTGAAAACAAAATAACCAAATTTGGCTGGTGCTGGGTGTTAATTTTCCGAAATGGGAGAGGCATACAAGGCGTAAAAAACTGTGGCTTTCGGGATCTAGCTCTTACTTTGTTTGTTCTGGTTGGTGTCTGCCAGACCGTCATCCATCTCTTTACGCTTCTTCCTTCTGTGCTGTGGAAATCGTGATGATGGTCTGTGAAAGGCAGAAAGAGGCTCTTAAAGCAAACTCTTCCATTTAGGAATAAATATTGGCTGTTTTGTTAGAATTACTATTGTAAATATTTACAAAGCACACTTCGAATGTTAAAGAGAATTAATAAGTGAAGTAATGTAGTAAGGCTAGTTGACATAATGAATAATTATGATATATTTGCAATGATTTTTCAGATTTGGAGAAAGTTAGCATTGCATCACTTACTCAGCAATGGATCCTCTGTAGTGAATGGGTGCCGTCAGAATGAGAGTCCAAACAGCTGAGAAAAACATCACAATAATCCACAAGTAATCCACTCCAGTCCAGCAGTTAATGTCTTGTGAAGTGAAAAGCTGCATATTTATAATAAACGAATCCATCATCAAGACGTTTTAATTATAAAGCATTGCTTCTGGCCAAAATACGAGACCATAATCCATAATAAATAAAATATAATCCACCAGCATATTTGTTTAACGTTGATCTGTGCATATTTCTCAGACTTTTCTCTGGAGAAAACGCTATTATGGATGGAGAACTTTTTGAAGTTAAAAAATGTCTTAATGTTGGATTTGTTTCTTACAAACACGCAGCCTTTCATGTCACGAGACGTTAATTAATGGATTGGAGTTGTGTCAATTACTGTTTGGACTCTCATTTTGACGGCACCCATTCACTGCAGAGGATCCATTGGTGAGCAAGTGATGTAATGCTAAATTTCCCTAAGTCTGTTCCGATGAAGAAACAAACTCATCTACATCTTGGGTGGCTTGAGTAAATGTTCAGCAACTGTTTATTTTTAGGTGAACTATTCCTTTAAAATAAAGGTCAGAGAAGATTCTGCTTGCCTTTTCCCTGCAGAAGAAGGTGACAAATCCCTATAAAACAGAGAAAAGAAAGCAAAAATAAAACATTTCATGTGCATTACATATGACTGTTAAATAAGTCTTAATCATTTTACATCTTAAACCTTTTTCCTGGTCAAGAGAAGACAATGTTTATATCACTCATATGAAAATATTGTATGTGCATACTTGCTCAAAGAGTCTGCCACAATTTTCCCAGAATCCTCTTCATTCTGCTCTCTATGCAGGAAAAGGAAGAAAGAGCACAAAGGATTATACAAATGCCAATTTTCCCCAAACAACTGCTCTACTATATAAAAGTAATTTCTTGCCAGTATTCTTTTCCTGAATTGTTATTTATTTGGATACTTTGAAAGGTTTTCAGGAAACAAATTAAAGCATTACTGAAAAACATGAGAAACAAGAGAGTATTTCCAGAAACGTAGCAGTAAATAATCTCAGACCATCAGGGTGGCAATTATTCACACAGCTGAAATATAAATGGATTGTAACAAACAAAGCTATTAATCAATAGTACACTAAATATTTTTCTGAGCTCAGTGGAAACAAAATCTTTGAGACGCCACAAATGGTCATTATGTTCAGAGAACGTAGTTGTTCAGATTTCCTAATAACTTTCTGTTGTCCTAGATGTTTGGTCCTCTAATTCTGTGAAAAATCCAAAAAAATCATCAGATTCCAAATAAGTTAGGGATGTAGGTGGTGAATGTGACATTCCTGTTAAGTTTTACCAGAATACAGAATGAGAGTAAAATATGATATTTATAGGGGATTCATTATAAAAAATGTTAAAAATAAGCATTACAAATTTTATGCTGAAACTTTTCACAATGCACACTGTTTCAAAGCAGCTTTACACAAAATCATGATGTTAATATTTATAATATCTTAATGCCTTATAGTCTCATTTAAAAGATTAGAGATGGGCAGCGATAACAATTTACATTTTGTGATGATATATAAACAATAAAACAGTTATTTATTTATAGTATATATCACTTTTACATGAGTGTACTGGATGTACAGTGGTTATAGAAAAGGATCACCCCCCTTTAAAATAACACCTCACACCTGATTGATCTGAGTCTGTCAGGAAATGACATAGGATACTCAGGTGTGAAGCTACTTTCAAGAGTACTGGAAAATCCTGCATGCAAACTGGAAACTCTTTGGTAAGATCTCATCTTTGAGACTCAGATGTTCTACAGTGGGTATAGAAAAGAATCACCCCCCTTTAAAATAATCAAATTTTTTATATATTCAGCTGGGCAATAATAAAGTTTCCATTTTGTGATGGTATGTTTAAGTAAATCATTGTGCCACTAACACTATATATCATACATCAATCTTGTTCTGATAGACTGTTATTTTACAGTAAGTTATTACATTGAGGCATACTGACAATCTTCTAAAGTGGACCCATCACTAATGAGCTCTAATTGCTTGAGGTCCATTTGCAGCTGCGCTGTTACAGCCTAAAGCTTTCAAAGCTCAAGACACACTAATCCACTAACCTCTCACTGTCACTCCTCTCAACCAGACCTTGTAATACTGCATCAAGGCGGTTTCGAGCCCCAGCATCTGCAAAAGAACATTTATTTTTAACCACAAAACACTCCACATTCTAAAACAGAAATGTAAAAAGAAGCTTATGTTTGCAGCCTCACCTGTTTTCTCAGTCTTGATTTTACAGTGAAGCATTGTACTTCCTGATTTTTTTTCCTGTAATTTTATTCAGATGAGGATGTGTTAATTAATTACTATAGGACTAATATAAAAGAAACATGTAAAATTAAGTTGATTTGCTGCAGTTTGATATACTTTTATCTTTATGAGGGCAAATTATATATATAAATATATATATACACACATACACATACAGTGTATATATATATATATACACAGGGCCATGTAGTTTTGGATTTTGTTTTCCCTTAATAATAAAAACCTTCATTTAAAAACTGCATGTTGTGTTTACTTGTTATCTTTGACTAATATTTAAATTTGTTTGATGATCTGAAACATTAAAGTGTGACAAACATGCAAAAAAATAAGAAATCAGGAAGGGGGCCAACACTTTTTCACACCACTGTGTATATATATATGTGTGTGTGTGTACTGCATTTACAATTATGATTTACATTCTGAATCTACAATACAAATATAATTATTACATCTTCTATATATATTAATTATATATATACAGAGCTGGGTACATAATCAGGATTACATAATCAGATTCCAAAAATCAAGTACTCATAATTAGAGAACATTACATTTTATAATGCTCATAATCAGATTACAGTTACTTTTTTATGGATTACCTGATTACATATTATTCACACAATGGCAGTAAATCATTGATAATTTATTAATTCTGAAAGACTTTGAGCACGTAATGTCATTGCTGTTTTCATTAATGTTTGTTCATGTTTTTGTCAGACAAAACCCTTTGACAATATATATATAAAATTTCGGTAAATCAGTACAAACGTTTGCAAAAGAGAACGCACAGGGAGTATGAAAAACAAGTAAACAGACAGTACTATTTTGCTAATCAGCTACAATGATATAAACGGCTGATGTTAGCTAGCTAGAAAACCAATTAAATTCCTGATTAACTCTTCGCCGACTTCATAAATCCCTGAAAAATAACAATGTTTTAATTAACATTATTTAGGAGCGGAAAACACTTTATAAATACAAACCTGCGCTATTCACCTTTCAACCGTTCGCTGAGAGACTGACGACGAGCCGCTTCTGTCACAATCCGACATTCCTCTTCCGCGCGCAATGAGATTCCTGGCTCGTCATTGGCTGCAGCGGATGAGAGCGCAGCGCTCTTATTGGTTCAATTTGCTGTCGATCACAAAATACGAAATTCTATTGGCTGGTCAACTGTCTTCGACAACAATGTAAACAACAGTTGTCGGACTACATATCCCAGGATACAACACAGTCACACAATTCGAAAAGTAAGCGGAGATCATTTTTTTAAGAAACATCAAACTAAACAACAAATTTGCAATGAGCTTGTGGTTATATTCGGATATAGTTTGCTTTTGAGAGTTTAAATAGCGTATAGCTTGTTAATAGTGAGCTAAAATACCGTATAATCTCTTAGTAACGTAATCACGCGACGGTTACGATACACTCATGCAACACAGAAACAGTCATTCGGATCATAATGTAGTTTCGTTAAACTGTCGTGTCTTTATTTAGACATTCATGGATCCTACAGTATGACGAAACTCCACTTGCGTCCTATGTTTTTATTAAGCAGAACAGGTTTGCACGAACGCTATGAGATCCAGGTGGGTTGGATGCCAAATCCTGTCAGATTAAACTTGATTACATCAGGCTGATGTGAAACACTTTGTCACTTTTCAATTTCTTAGCAGCGCAGCTGTTTTCACAAGACAGAATCCATTTCCTCCGGATCCCCGTTTGTCCAGGAGCCACTACAGTCCATCAAGATCCAAAAAAATCCCAAAGCAACAAAAAAGACTGGTGAGAGTAGTGTCTTTCCTCTGCACTTCATGTATCTTTATATTTTGTGACTTTCATGGTTTGCATTGGATACAGTTTCAATGTTTTTTTGAATTCTGCACATTTCTTTCACAGTTCTCACATCTTGAATTCTAAACAAATTGATTTTTAAAGTACAAAAACGTCAATATGGAAAGTATTTCTGCTTGAAACGTTCACCATTGCATAGTGCATTTTATATCAAATACTATTTTTTAAATAGTATTCATGTACTGTGCACTATTTAGTAACTAGTTGTCTAGTTTCTAGGCTAGTCCTTATCTAAACTGCATTAACAAATTATTGGTGTCTCAATGCAATGATAACTAGCAATTGAAAGGGCTGAGATTGGAAAAACAAAGCTTTAACTTGCAAAAACACATGGTGATGTTGTCTTTTTTGGATTGCACTTTGCAGGCCTTGAGTCCTGTACGGTTTACTGAGCCACCCAGTCCTTCAGATCCTCCCACTCAGGCGTCACCTTTGAGGACCGAGGACCAGGTCTGCCATGAAAGATCACGTATTGTCCTGCTCTGCCCTCCTACTACTGAACGCCAGCTGAGCTACTCCGAGTCTTGGCCTTCTACTGACCTGAGTTGCTCTACAGACAACACTAACACTTCTGCCTGCTCTGAAGCTCAGATGCAAGCCATGAGAAGCATGGTTGCGCCAACGACAATTGAGGCAAAGGAACCCTCAGTTCTTGCAAAGTAAGGGAAACCATTGTTCTCTAATGGCAATATCACTTTTGATTATAAATAAACCTTTTGATTCAAAACAATAGAATGATGTAAAATTGGTAAACAAGGCTCATCTGAACTACTCACCCCATGAAGCAAGGATGGAAAAATGTATTATTCAGTTACTCTTTTGAAGAGATTTTTAACAGAGTTTAGCCAAATACAGTTTTTAGCGAAAATAAATTGTAAAAACCTGATATAATTTAGCCATACTGATTACATATTATTCACACAATGGCAGTAAATCATTGATAATTTATTAATTCTGAAAGACTTTGAGCACGTAATGTCATTGCTGTTTTCATTAATGTTTGTTCATGTTTTTGTCAGACAAAACCCTTTGACATGAAATATTTACTTGAAATATCTCTGAGGAAGTTAATATTTCAATAATTTAACACACATTCGCATGTTTACAGATCACTGCCGTTGATTAAGGGTCACACTGACATGCAGGTAAACAAATTATTTATAATTTTAAGTGTTTAAATTATTTATTTTGCATATTTTATGATTTAATTAGTTATTATTACCTTTTTATCAACTCACAAACCTGCTGCAGTTCTTACATTAAGCCCAGGTGGGTAAACCCTGACATAATGTAATGTTTAAAACATTTTACGATGTTGATTTTAAAAAATAGAATATATTTTCTTTCTCTTTGCTTTTTCATATCAATACGGTACATTTAATAGTATGTTTAAAACAAGGTAGATAAAAAGTAATCTAAAAAATAGTCAGAATACAGTACCTAAAATGAGTAACCTAGATTACGTTACTAACTACAGTTTTAATCAGTAATGGACTACAATTGGGGAAAAATGTATTATTCAGTTACTCTTTTGAAGAGATTTTTAACAGAGTTTAGCCAAATACAGTTTTTAGCGAAAATAAATTGTAAAAACCTGATATAATTTAGCCATAAATTTTTCTTGCAATGAAAATAACCACAGAAGCTGGCATGGCGTTCAAAACAAACAAAGCAACGATGGTATCATGTCCAACTATTTACTATATTATTACAGTTTAAACGTTTGGAGTTAGTGATTTCTTTAAAAAATATATATTATTTTTATTTAGCAAGGATGCATCAAATTGACTAAAAGTGACAGAAAAAAAGACATTTATAATGTTACAAAATATTTCTGTTTCAAACCAATACTGTTCTTTTGAACTTTCCGTTCATCAAAGACTCCTGAAAAAAAAATTATCATGATTTTCTCAAAAATATTAAGAAGCAGAACTGTTTGCAACATTGATTTAAAAATAAGAAATATCTCCTGAGCTGCAAATCAGCATATTAGAATGATTTCTGAAGGATCATGTGACACTGAAGACTGGAGTAATGATGCTGAAAATTCAGCTTTACGTCACAGGAATACATTTCATATTAAAATTTCAAATAGAAAACAATTATTTGAAATTCTAATTATATTTCACAGTATTACTGTTTTTAATGTATTTTAAATAAGTACATTAAAATACATAAAAAAATCTTGGCCATGGTAGGTCTGTTGTAAAAAGAAAAAGTGACTGAGATTTACATCTGGAAGTGGACCTTGGTGTCTAAAATACAGTAATTTCGCTCACCATTTGCTACGCAGTGAACCATTCATTTGAAATATCAACAGTATCTTCCTTTCTTTAAAGGAAAGCTGAAGTAATGTTGCCACATGTAGTGACTCATTATTCTCAGATGAGCAGGTCCAGGGTATTTAATGCAAGCTTTATGTTTGCCTTGAAAGGGTATGTTGTTGCTTGTTAATTATATGACATCCTTTTGCAATTAAATCCTTCAAGGTACATTGAACGCTTCCGCTTTGGAAAGCCACAGAGTCGAGAAGAAAGACGCCTTCAGGCAACTGAGGGAGAAGATGACCAGCCGTTTTGGTGGATGCCCACATCCCCTCCATCCAGTTCAACACCAACACAACCATCAGAGAAATATATCAGAGGTGTGCTTTGAAGAATACATCTGTCATTAATAATGATGTTTCAGTGTGGGTTGATAATATAAAGTATTTCAGTTCAGTTTTCTTTGTAATTAGAGTCATTCTTGTGTATGTATGTCCTGTTTATAGAACCACTTGATCTCATGAACGATGGCACCGCCAGCACCCAGAGAACCATCTCAAAGCCACTGCATGATGAAACCACGCTGTCTCCAGCTAGACTCATGCTTGACCTTAGCATGCTGGTGAGTTTTGCATAAAATTGAACAACTGATTTGCCTAAAAGAGCTCAATGCATTTTGACCGTATTTTAAAGAGTATGACAAACAATTAACAGTTTGTTATATTACTGTATGTCTTTTATATGTTGCAGTTGAATTGTGTTCATGAAGTAAAAAAAAAAGAGAGAATTAGACATGTATTTTCTCAAGATGCCGGATGTTAAGCAGTGTGGTGGTTGACTGTTGCCGTCTAGTGGTGGTAGCTGGAAAATCTTCCTTCATGAGGTTCTTTATTTACAATATATACACTTCTGTTCTTAGAGTTTGGGGTCAGTAAGATTTTGTTTTGGATAGAATCAATACTTTTATTTAGCAAGGATTAAATTGATCAAAAGTGACATTAAAGACGGTTACAATGTTACAAAAGGTTTATTTTTCCAAGTAAATTCTGTTCTTTTGAACTTTTTTAAAAGATTCCTGATAAAATTCCTTAAGTATATTACGGAATTAATATATATGTGTATATTATACACAACTTTTTTCAGAATGGATAATAAAAAATATTTCCTTCAGCTTATTAGAATGATTTCTTAAGGATCATGTGACACTGAAGACTGGAGTAATGATGCTGAAAATTCAGCTTTGATCACAGAAATAAATTACATTTTAAAATATATTAAAATAGAAATCAGTTCTTTTAAATTGTAATAATATTTCACAATATTACTGTTTTTACTGTATTTTTGATCAAATACATGCAGCCTATAGAGCCCCAAACCTTTCAACTGTGTGTGTGATTTTATCATTTATTTATTATATAATAAATAGATAAACTGACTAAATACCTAATAATAAACAAAATGAAACAAACTAATTGACCTCTGATTTATAATGTTGCCATGTTGCACAGATCAGCAGGCGCAATATTGTGATACTTTGCTTAACTTTCTGTCTTCCATGTTGATGGAAACTGCTCTAGAATGCCTCAGCATTAAAGGAAGAAGAACTCACTCAAAAATAATCAGACCAGCTGATATAAAATGGTCTCTGTTGAGCATCAAATGTTGTGTATTTATAAATTCCCCACAACAGAGAGTTCTTATGCAACCCTTGGCCCAGATCCCCTGTTTTGAATTGCAGGACGTCACTGGTGGTCCTCTCCTCAGGATGATTTAATGTGCCTGGTGGAAAATATCTCAGGCTGTCATTAAATGTCAGTGCCCGGTCATGACACTGCATGTATAGTGACCGATATTGCTAGTGACAGTATTATTGTAGCTGATAATCTCATGGATGTCCACCACAAATTTCCTTCCAGACATTATCTGAATCATCCCACTGTGATCAAGAAGAACCAGAGATACTGCAGCTACAGGAGCGGGCCAGCCGTTTACTGCAGAGGAGGTGAGACATACTGTAAACACACACTCACTCAAGGGGGGAAATGTCATTTCACAATGATAAATGACCACCAGCATAGTCAGCTTCCTGTCTGAATGTCAGGACTGAATGTTCAAGTGTGAAAGTTTATACGGGAGTTTCACAATCAAACATGATTTATTACTTTTATTCAGCAAGGACACATTAAATTGATCAAAAGTTACAGTAATGACATTTATAATGTTAAAAAAAAAATCTATTTAAAAAAAAAATGCTGTATCACACTTTCCACAAAAATTTTGAGCTGCACAACTGTTTTCAACATTGATAAAAAAAATATATATATTGAGCAGCAAATCAGCATATTAGAATGATTTCTGAAGGATCATGTGACACTGAAGACTGGAGTAATGATGCTCCTATGTGTTAACTAAAAATAAATGTTAGGAGGAATTTAAATCACTTTATAGCAGGGTTAAATTCCTGATTGTTTAATAAAGGTTCCTAGGTGTTGATGAATTTTCTTTAACTTCATGACTATGAAGTATGTTTGTTATTGCATTATGACTGCACATTCCACCTTGGGATTTCACTTTAGAGTCATTAGGTTTGAACAGTTTAGATGATCTTTATGTGTTTTCAGTGAGCATTCACTCAGCAGTGGCTCTGTGCCTTTCAGTTCTGGGGGTCTGGGCTGCTCTGATTTCTCTTCCCCCGTAAGCACTGATGAGCCAGTCCGAAGACCAGTCGTGTCCACCTTAATGGGCTTAACCAACAGTAAGTAACAGGTGTAACACATAAATGAGTGTACACATTTAGTGTACATCTTGTAACACAAACACACTATTTATTGTTTCCTGAACATCTTTGTGTTTCCGATTTCACAAACACACCCTTATCAGATTAAAATGTACCCACACCCCTAACCACAAATGCGGTAAAAAGCAGAAATGGTTGTGTAAACATTCTCCGTTAACTAAAAACAAACAGAAAAGGAGATAAATGCCATTTTGGACTGCTAGGTATTTATTAGTGCAATAAAAGTGCATTAGAGCATTTTGTTTGTTTGTTTTTGTGTCTTTAAGTGGTTCTAGAGCCAGGTTTGTGCGAGGGAACATCTTTTCCTCGTCTTGTGGTTGGTTCTGAGGGGTCAGGTGTCTGTCGTGAAGATGACATCCTGTTTCAGTGGCGACTAAGAAGGAAGATGGAACAGGCCAGACAATGGTGTCAGGAGGCCCCTTCCCACAATTCTGTTCTCCATATACCTCTATCACACAGTGTCGGACCAAACCAGGTGAACCAACACCACAGTGCACATCAGGGTTATTCCTTTTTGATTAATATGTGCCCAAAAGTTAAATGTTTCAGAATATGTAATATAATATTAAATTATATCCTATAATATAATATAATTTTCAAAAGTTTGGGATCGCTAAGATTTGCTAATGCTTTTGAAAGAATTTATGCTCAGCAAGGCTGCACTTATTTGATCAAAAATTCTGTAAAGCACAGCAGTATTATGAAATATTATTGTAATCTAAAATAACTATTTTCTATTTTAATATGTTTTCAAATCTAATTTATTCCTGTGATGCAAAGCTGAATTTTCAGCATCATTACTCCAGTCTTCAGTGTGATTATGATCCTTCAGAAATCATTCTAATATGCTGATTTGATGCTCAAGAACATTTCTTATTATTATCAATGTTAAAAACAGTTGTGCTGTTTAATATTTTTGTGGAAACTGATACATTTTTTACATTGTAAATGTCTTTACTGTCACTTTTGATCAATTTTATGTGTCCTTGCTGAATAAAAGTATTACATTTTATTTTTTTCGTAAAACTTACTGGCCTAATTTGAACTATAATACAATAAATTCTACAGATGGCATTTTTAATTATTAATATCTTTTGAAAATATTGTGTATGATATTATATCATCTCATTCATACTGAAAATACTTTGTGTTTTTTAAATGACATCCATCAGATGAATTTGTGCCATAATAATATTTCATTGAATGCACTACCATGACATCAACAATAAAACATGGGAATTGTTTTAAATGTTAAATGGTTATAAGGTTAGTTGCATTCTGTATTTTACATATAACATTGTTTTTTCTCCTAAACAGTGACCCACCAGTTTTAGATTTTCACATTTACTTCATGCAAAGAACATTTCTAATTAATACATTCTTCTTCTTTGTTTCCTTTTAGAAGGCACACTATAGCACTTTAAACCGCACACCTCATCAGAGAACAAACCTCTCATTCACACCGTTCTCCCTCGCTAGCCTCGATCCTCCAGTTCCTGAGTCTCCTCTCCCTATGTCAAGCCCCAGCATCTCCAGACTCCGGCCCGATGTGACCCACGAGCAACCAGACCCCGATATCCAACCCAAACCCCTTCCCCAGCAGAGACTGTCCTCCAGGAAAGCTGTCACAAAGAATCTGGAAACCCCTTGTGCCCAACCACAACATCGCAAGCCAATCAGAACACAAGTCAGCATCCCAGAGACCACAGCAGATCACAGCAGAACACAGAGGTCCTCTTCTCCATCTCCACAGACTTCTGATAGCACAGAGGAGCGGTGGCCAGCCCCTCATCGTAAGAAAGACACAACAGGCAAAGAAAAGACTGAAAATGAGAGACAGGAGAAGAAGATTGCACCTTTACGCCAAAAGAAAACATCTGAACGGTAATTTATGTTTTTCATTATTGTCCAAATCAGACTTTGACCAAACCATAGACTGTAAAAAAACATGGACGTAGTGTCCATGACGTCACCCGTAGGATTCTAAAGAACGTTTTTGAAGCTCAAAGTGGCAGTGCGTCACCGCGCGTCACTCCCGGATAATTGAAAATGGGCAAAGAGGCGGTTGCAGTTTTATTCACTTCCGTGTGAATAAAAGAGCGGGAGGTTGCCGCTTGATGAAATGTCACAGTTTTGCATTGTGCTTTGAAAACGGCAGTGGGTAGCCTAGATTTGTGCTTTCAATTTGAATAGAAATCTTATACAGTACAGTTTGTCGATCTAAATGGTAATTGTGCATTAACAGCTGTCATCCATGTCGGTACACAAACGCGCTGTCAGAACTTATTTATACAGCGCATTTTTTATTTTGGTCACGTATGCGGACCTGCGGACCACTTATGTGCACCCCTGATTATAAGATTAATTGTGATTTATTTTGTTCTGTTGATAGCTATCGATTTAACAGTTCTGCAAAAATTATTCAATATTTAAAGTGTTTTGTTTAATATCACTCTTTTTCCTCACACAGTAAAATTGGATCATGAAATTGAAAATGGGCAAAGAGGCGGGAGCTGGTTGCTGAAACCACGCCCACCTAGCTCGACGGTGGTGACAGCAGTGCAATCCACCTGTCACTCAAGTGGCCACACCCTTAATTATGTAGAACTTTAAGGCTTAATATAATTTAAACAGATGAGTTATAAAAAGATTCACCCACCTCACAGTTGTCATGAAGGGCAAAATTAGTGCAGCCAGCCTCTAGCGGCCAGTTGACGAATTACAGTTTAAGTCACTTCCGTGTAATGTGTAGACATGGTGGCGAGCGAGGGAGCAGTGCAATGAGGGTCAGGTATGCCAGGGTTCATGAAGAGGTCAGTCGCAAACCTGAGGAGCTGAGTGGAAACAGTAGGTGGCAGGAAGAGGGTCAAAGGTCGACACGAGGAGGACGGTCTGGAAATCAAGCACCACCACCCTCACCTATACACAATGCTCTGGGACAGGTTTGTGAGTTTATTTTATGATGCATTACAAGTTTCTGAAGCTGTTGAACCCCAAGTTAGTAAATTAATTTAATTATTCATTTAAAATGGCACCTATATCGCTTTTTTTTAAAAATCAATGCTTTTATTCAGCAAGGATGCATTAAATCAATGAAAAGTGACAGAAAATACTTTTACATTGTTACAGTTTATTACAATTTATTACAAATAAATGCTATTCTTTTGAAGTTCCTGTTCATTAAAGAATCCTGAAAACATGTATAATGATTTCCACAAAATATTAAGCAGCACAAATGTTTTCAACATTGATAATAATAAGAAATGTTTCTTGAGCAGCAAATCAGCATTTTAGAATGATTTCTGAAGAATCATGTGACACTGAAAACTGGAGTAATGATGCTGAAACTTCAGATTTGCATTACAGGGATGAATTACAGTTTAAAATATATTCAAATAGAAAACAGGTATTTTAAAATGTAATAATATTTCACAATATTTTTGTTTTTACTGTATCTTTGATCAAATAAGTGCAACCTTGATGAGCGTAAGAGACTTATTTCAAAAACATTAAAAAATTTTTTTTACTTGTGATTCATCAGAACAGAAGAAAGTAAACGCTGTCCTTGAAATTGACAGGTTGTCTCTGAGGTGCTTTTTGCTGGTACAGACTCACCAAGCCAGTGCAAGACTCCAAGTTCTTCAGATTCCCCAGTATATACCCCACCTCCACCCCCACAATCCCCTGTGGCCTCTTGTTCCGGTGTGCAGCAACCCTTGGAGGTCATAGGTCAGCTCATGCAGGATGCAGAAGGTAAGAAGGCCTCATGCATTCATTCAAACTAGCTGTAAAACTGTCTGATGATGTGTTTTTAACAGGTCACGTGAGGGTCAAGTGTTTTAGCCTGAGCCTGTTATAAATAGCAGGATTGACCCTTTAGAGTGTGCTTAGAACAATAGAATGCATGTTACCATTAATATAGATGGAAGTTATACAAATTGTATATATTGTACATGTCTTTTTTTTTTTCAAAACATTTGTTTTATTACTAACTAAATATGTTACATATTATTTATGTTATTTTATTTGGTGGGGAAGTCGTGGCCTAATGGTGGATGGGTAAATGCAGAGCACTAATTCCGAGTATGGGTCACCATACTTGGCCACATGTCACGTCACCTCACCTCACTATTTTACTAGAAACAACCTTTTTTAAATCTGTTTTGAGTTTGGTAAGATTTTTAAAAATGTTTTTGAAAGAAATCTCTCACCAAGGATGCATTTATTTGTCAGAAATACAGTAAAAACAGTAATATTGTGAAATATTATTACAGTTTTAAAATGAACTGTTTTCTGTTTGAATATATATGTTTAATGTCATTTGTTCCTGTTATATAAAAGCTGAATCTTCCAGATTTGGTTGAATGTAATGTTCAAAACACAGCCTTTATTTGTAATAAAAAATTGTAACAAAGTAAAAATCTTTACTGTCACTTCTGGTAAATTTAATGCATTGTTGCATTAAAAAAATGTATTAATTTACAATAAATCTTACTGACCCCAAACTTTTGAATGGTAATGGTAAGGAAACATTTTTTTTTCTTCCCCTTATCCTGATACCACAAACTTACATACAGACTCAGATGGGCAGAAGTTCGAAGACGATCCTTTGTTGCAAGTCCTCAGACAGCAGAGGAAATGGGTGAAGGAACAACTTTGGTGAGAATATCTAGTTTATCTGTTAACGACATATATACATATATATATATTTCACACAAATCTCTATGCGAGTTAGACTTTTTGCTTGATCAGTTTTTCATTTTTTTTATTTTCCAGTGAGGTTGATAAGATGCTCCAGCAGCTATGAAGCACCTGTTATGATGCGATACATTTCACATTATCATGTTTATTTTTGCTACTAATTATTTATGCCATTTTATATTGTGGATTCAAACATGTATGACTGTATTTCTAAATAAAGACCTTTGCAAATAAACAAGGGTGTTTCATTATGTTTATTGATATTCAATCTGTACATCACACAAATATTAGAACTAAATGAACACTTACATAATTATGTCATTTTGTAAAAATATGTACAATCCTAACATAACCTATTAAGATTAACTGAATAATCAGTGCAATTTTGTGAATAAGCAAGTGTGATACAACACAAAAATAAGTCATTTCTGAATGGTTCCCATACTAAATTCAGTTTCAGTATGACTGTGGGTTTGGGAGAGGAGACCCTGTTAACGCGAGGACAAATGTGTCGCTCTTACAGGCTGTATGCTAAACTGACAGCAAGTGTGAAGAAAATGTGATACGATCTTCTTGTTGGCTTGAAATCAAGTATGTTTGGAGTTGGCATCTGAGTTGAGTAGTCCACCGCCACAAGGGGGAGTGAGAGGAAGCCAGTCTGTTTTGGTCTTTACCATTGCCTTACATGAGAAACCCAGAGGATGGGAATTTTAAGCGCCTTGCATTAACATGTCAAGAACTAAAACAGTGAAGAAGAGCAAAAAAATGAATATCTAAACATGAGTGTGGAGGAAACTGTGTGTGTGTGCACATCATGGTCTGCTGTGATTTAACAGTCTGGAATTGTCTCCTTGTGTCAGAGGTGCTGAGATTACTAGCATGCCTTCTGTTGATATGGCTGATTCCAGTGCCATGATGTCCACTCCATTTGGGATCCGGTATCGCCGGTTAAACTGACGTGTCACCAGTCCCGAACCATCCTAGGATTGAACAAGCACGTATATCATGCTGTTAAACGTCAGGTCTCAGATGTCCAGTACAAAGTGTTTTAGCAGGTTTCACATCTGCTAATCCTAATGCACATTAATACAGGAGTCAGCATTAGAAAGAAGAAGCCATTGGGTGTCACCTTTTTTTGTTCATGTTTTCCCTCAACCACAACATAATCTCCAACAACTTTAACCAGCAGGTCCTCGGGACTGAAATGTTTCACATCAACCTGCACAGTAAATCCATTATGATCACAGGTAACCTGTAGAGAAAATGAATTTAATAAATTTTCCAGTACATAATCCATTTCTAACTCTGCTACAGAGAGAATTTAAGATTTATTAACTTTTTTTTATTGGTCATTATTATGTATGTTGTTCTATGCCTAAAATATCATTTTTATTTATTAAATATTTAATAGATTTTATAGAATTTATTTAGCTTTATATTTTCATGATTACTATTTGTTCTTATGCACTTGCTACTAATTCTTCATATCAAGTAATTATAATTTAATCATTTAAATATTTAATTTATAATTATTTTAAAAGGCAGTAAATTTGTTATACTGAAAAAATGTATTTTCCATAGTATGTACATGTACTGTTACCACTGTAAAACTAGAACTAAGAGATTTTTCGTCATTTAGATTAATAAAATAATATTTTTTTTATTATAAAAAATATAGCATTTTATAGTGACAAGTCACAACAGAGAATTTTTTTAATAAAATGTATTACTCCACCTGTGCTGCTCCGGTGTGCTCGGAAACTGGGATTAAAAGTTCGGTCGGCATCCATGAATAAGGTCCAATTGTCCCGGTACACCGGGGGAATAAGGGTGGGAGAACCCTTTCCCATGGGATACCGCTCACCGGGAGAGAAGGAGGCAAGTCGAAGTCCATTCTTCTGGGATGAATGTGTAAAAGTAACCACCAAATAGACTAATACAGCTTCAGAAAATTCAGAGTGTATGACTAGTTGGTTATTTTGATGAGAGTCTATCCTGTTACGCAACAGAAAGCAGGAAAATTGTTGCTCTCCAGGTTAGTAGGAGGTTTAAATAGACTGAAGAAAACACCGCCCCTTTACATGAGCCCTTCCTCTAAACAAATTCCATAAGTAAGTGGACTGATGGTGCTGTCAGAGATCTGAGATACTTAATCATGGAGCACGATGCCAAAAGCGTTATCAAGGCTGCATTTGTTGTTATGGAATGCCAGTGACAGGAGTGGGATTTAACCCCTCCCTTTATTCCCATAATGAAAGCATCCCCTTATGTAATAATTCAATGAGGAACACGATGGTCCCCATTCAAATGGTCCCAATCCCTGTCACCACCTCGGCTATTTTATATTAAGCAAAGAGTGACTTTCAATAACTGAATGTGCAACTGGTTGTGTGTGTGTCATGATTAGGCATCCAGCTATAAATAAATTGGAAAAAGTGCAAACCGCTCTGGTCATATTTATCCACATGACACAGCACGTGCGGACATTCACAAAGTAAATTATATATACTTTTTCCACATTACAATATACACACACACACACACACATATATATATATATATATATATATATATATACTGTATATATAATATAAATATATATAAATAACAAAACCTCTGCTGTAGATAACACTTCTTTTGTGTGAGGTTTTGGTTATCTTATGGTTCCTGACATAGGGACCTAAAGCCCTTGTGAAAATTGCTTCATCTTTGGTTTATTGTCTGCTTTTAGTAAAATAAAACATGCAATTATAGTGTATTTAATATTACGTTTATTCATTAACTCGATCAAGCTCATGCCTGTTTCAGAGCCTGAAATTGTAGTATTTTGCAATATTGAACAAGCACACCCGTTGCCAGTCATTGGTTTTTTCTATCTTAGTGTTATTGAGAAATGTGGTTGGTAGGCATTAAGAAATGCATGATGCCATATTTCTATTGGTCTGTCAAGTAGAATGTTTAATGCCATTGCATAACGCAAAACCTAGACCGTAAACACATCTAAATAAAAAGTCCTGAGCTAATGATGGAAAGGGCCTGATAGAGTATGAGAGATGTCTTCCAGTAAGAAGGTGACAAATCTACACATTTTGACATGTCTGTTCGAAAGTTTTAAATCAGTGAAATGTCCTGTCAAAGGAATGATGGGATTCGTAATGACATTTTTATAGCACACGAAGCACATTGTCCTACTGCTGACCTCCAACAGCAGAATAACTTCTAAAGAATCAGCTGTCTAACGACCACACGTGGCTTACGACTCAAAAAATACAGGTCCTGGCCCTTGGATTTAAAACATGACCAATGGATTGGCAGAACTGCAAGTCATTGGGGCTGAGGATAACATGTCCTTCTGCTGTTGCCATCCGCTGGTAAGCAGAAATTTCTGTCTATGAGCTGGCTATAGGCGACTAAAAACAGCACCCATGAAGATCCACGATGGGCTTAGCATGTGCTCAAAAGTTGGATCAAATTTCATAATAGGCGCCTGTAAGGGGTTACACGTGGGACAGAGGCTTCGTGCGTCGATATTATAGAGTCTGGTATGCAGCGGGTTTAAATTGATTGCAGGCTGTTGGTTAGTAAGCAAGAGAACAAGGGAACTCGTCAATCGAGGATTTTTCTAGAACCCTGTTGGCTTTTAGATGCTTTTGTTTTCCATTCACAACAAGCTCTAAAAATGGCTGACAAATACACAACACTCTTAAGGTTAAAAATATACATTTGTATAATGTTTTGTTTTACACTTATTTCTTACAGCGTGATGTGCATTTTTTAAAGTTCAAATATTCCATGTAGTTTCTCAATTAATGAGGTGCTGAAAGCTGCATGCACAATGATTATAATTCAATTAAAAATATACCGTTTAAAGTAGATGGCGTCATCATCTATATAATATCATAGCCTGACATAAACAAGATCAATATTTTTTTCTCTAACATTCATATTCCTATATGCTGCATCCACACAAATAAGTACAAGTAAAAACGTTTGCTTGTCAATGCCAAAAATCTCCCTGTTCCATCACGCTAATAAACATATTTATAAAACGTAAATCAAAATTATAAAAAAAAATAATAATAATACAAAAGTAAAGCTTTTTTAACAGTTAAAATACTTGTTAGTACCCCAAAACTCAATTTTCTCTCACACCAATGGACTAAATAAATAAACATGAATGGTAACACTTTATTTTTAGGACCAATTCTCACTATTAGCTAACTGCTTATTAGCATGCATTTTATTAGCATATTGGCAGTTTATTCGTACTTATAAAGCACATATTAATGTCTTATTCTGCATGAGCATAATTTTGATCCCTTAAAGGAACACTCCACTATTTTTGAAAATAGGCTAATTTTCCAACTCCCCTAGAGTTAAAGAGTTGAGTTTTATCGTTTTCGAATCCATTCAGCCAATCTCCGGGTCTGGTGGTAGCACTTTTAGCTTAGCTTAGCATAGATCATTGAATCTGATTAGACCGTTAGCATCTCGCTCAAAAATGACCAAAGAGTTTCTATATTTTTCCTATTTAAAACTTGACTCTTCTGTAGTTACATCGTGTACTAAGACTGACGGAAAATGAAAAGTTGCGATTTTCTAAGCTGATATGGCTAGGAACTATACTCTCATTCCGGTGTAATAATCAAGGAACTTTGCTGCGTATTACGCAGCGCCTGAAAATAGTCCCAGCTAGGTAACTTCCAATAAGCCTATTTTCAGGTGCTGCGTAATATCATTGCGCCTGCTGCACCCATGGTACCGCAGCAAAGTTCCTTATTATATAAATAGTAAAAATATAGAATTCTCTTCATTTTTGAGTGAGATGCTAATGGTCTAATCAGATTCAATGATCTATGCTAAGCTAAGCGAGAAGTGCTACCGCCAGACCCGGAGATCGGCTGAATGGATTCAAAAACGGTAAAACTCAACTGTTTAACTCTAGGGGAGTTGGAAAATGAGCCTATTTTCACAAATAGTGGAGTGTTCCTTTAATCCACCCCATACCTAAACTTAACAAATACCTTACTGACTATTAATAAGCAGCAAATTAGGAGTTTATTGAGGGAAAACTCTTATCAGTGAATGTGTTCCCCATTCTGAAGTGTTACCACATTAATTTTTTTAAATGATTTTTTTACTTTTTATTTTATATTATATAACATACTTATATTAAAATAGTTCATTTTAACATATTTTGTTTGTTAATCCCAAAAATCTCCATTGGACTAAATAAATAAAAATATTTTTTTAAGAGATAAAACTTTCCCTCTTCTTCTTAACTTGAAATAGCCTTGAAAAGACCTTTTTTGTATTTAATATATTAATATTTTATTCAAATAGTTCATTCCCATATGTTTCTGTATTTCACAGTTCATGATGAAGACAATGGCAATGCAGAGTATTTTCAGATTTTATTTGAAATTGTGCAAAACACAATTCTATATTTATGGACAAAATATGTGGTTTTTACTGTCCATCAAAATTATTAAAATATAGCAGAAAAAAATGAATGGCCTTTTTCTTTGAGAATAATAATATTACATATCATATCAACTGCCAAAATACAGTTCAAAGACTTTATTTAGGATGGACCTGACTGGTCCGGAGATTATTTTTGTCATACATTCTTTTCAATGCATTGACAGAGGTCAGAGTTACTAATATGAATGTGTGATCTCAAATAGGAAGTAGTAGTAGTTCTGGAAATGAACTCTTGTGCTTCAGCATGGTGCATCCGTGTCCATATTATCTCACTCAATCAACAACGATTTCATCAGTTCACAAAATACCACAACTCCCAGACAGATCCAGTTTATCTTCTATGCGACGATAGTGGTAAAATTAGCCAAGGAGCATCTTGTCGATGGGAGGAGAAAAACAGAGAGAGAGAGAGAGAGAGAGAGAGAGAGAAATAAAACAGAGGTATTGTGAAGCAGCAGACCTGATCAGGCTGTGCCGAGGGGAATGGTGAAGGAGAGGTAATCTCCCACCTCACCCCACCGTGCTCTGAAATGCTGGAATATGGTGATCCACGTCGTCAGCACGGCCACCCACAGTATGAGCCCCATAGCTGACTTCTTTACGTCTGTGGAGGCCAGAAGAAACAGTATACATTACATCCTAGACGTCATGCACTGAAACTCGTAAAGTCTACTGTATCATATTAGATATGCAAATGTATAAGTTATGAACATGATAAAATCTTGAAAGCTGAAAAACCTGTTGTACACAGTCTACTAGATGCCTACAGTTGTCTGATTGATAGTTTATACTTCTTCAGCGAGCAAAAGGCCTTTTAGTATAATTCTAAAAATGTCCACTGTCAGGTTGTGTCAAGGTTACATGATTATCCATGCATTATTTCTTAGTAAAATCAATAAAAACTTCCAGATTTGATCATAAAAATAAACATTTAAATATCATCTTACTAAGACATATTAGTGGAAGACATAGAATGATATTTATATTCATTTAATGTACGTAGTCTGTAATACTGTTATAAAGATCGCATTCACAAGCTATGAGAATTTCATCTTACTTTTTGACCATATAAATATCAGCAACTGCTCCAAACTGCTTTTTTTGTTTACTCCGTTTTAGCCTGTGAATAAAATCGAGGTGTTTTTTTCCTAGTCAAGTGTGAGCTCCATATTCTCACTTGATTATACTATATGCTCCACAAAAGCCTGATGTATCAAATCATCATGCTTTTTTTTTTTTATTTAGTCTAAAAGATTCAATAACTTTGCATTTATTTAAAAATATATATTTTTTGACTATTATTTCACATGACTGGCTTTACAGGGTTAACTAACTAGAACGCACAAATACAATATATAATCTGTGTAATACATTGCAAACTATCCATAGATGCCAACTATTAATCTTAGTTTGCATATTAGGAAATATAATTTATAGCAGAATAATGGTACTTATTGTTTTGGCTTAAAAAAATACTGTTTTAATGATGATTTTCTTCTTCATAATGATTTTTTCATGACTTCATAAACCTTACAACTTAAATATAGCATTGTTTTTAATACAGCTGACTGATAAACACATGGAATTCCTTAAAGTGTTTCTTGCCCATAAAAGTATCATGAGCCACACTTTAGTTTACACAAAAGCGGCTCAAGAATTCCAGCGAGGGAACAGCATCTATCGGCCTGTTTGGAGCTGCTATGTAAATATCCTCCGTACGTTTGTGCATATTAAATGCCAATGAAGACTTTATTATCTGAATACTGGCGTACACTGACTCTGAATTAGAATTGAGTCTGTGTAGGCAGATTCTTTTAACATTTTAAACCAGATTGTGGGAAGAGCTGCAAGGAAGAATTGTGGTAGAACACACATTGTTACATGTATTCCGTCACATACTCACATGATTTAATCTGTGGCTGTTCTGTGTATGCAGGATTTAAAAAGGCCTCTTTGAAAAACCACAGCACATTTACCAGCCAGAGAAAGGGGAGGAATGCAAAGCCACCTGAGGAACAAATCAGCACAATGAAAACAACAATACATGTACAGAAAACACATCGCAGGGTGTCATGATATGTCATTGTCACAACATACCTAAATAGTATCTCCTGCAGAGGCTAAGCTTCTCTTCATTGGGCATCCGTTCGAGGTTCATTGTGGAGTTTCCTATAAAGAAAAGCCTTGATAAATCCATCCACAGGTATCCAACTGAACTGATCAATATGCTGCAACATTGCTGCCATCTGCTTACACAAAACAGTACTGCCATAATACATGATTGCTAACGTTACATAGGAAATTGGGTTTACTGTAATCATGCATTAAAACCGCCATCACAGCTTTGTCACATAATCAAATCATCTAGTCAGAAATAAAATGATACCACTGCTTCAAAAACAGTGTAAATGATTGGAGCAATAAGATGAAAATCCTTCTAATCAACCCCTCAGTCAAAACAACATTACTGGACTGCGAGCGAACAATAACTGGTCGCATACGGCAGACCGTCTGCTCTAAAACCTTACACAGATTGTTTGTTGTAGTAAAGGAAGGTGGATACCTTGTAAGCCGAGCTCAGACGAGAAAACGGAGGGTTTAACACAACAAAGGCGAGGGAGAAACAACTTTTATGGTTCCGCTTCCTGATGAAAACTAAGGCGTGACGTCACTGCACGGCGGTGCATGATGGGTAATGGAGTTTTCAGGTTACAGGCGTTAAGAACGCGAGACCGGTGTTCGTCATGGGTCCCTTTTAACCCTTTGGTCTTATAGCGTAATGGGTGAATGTCAAAAAACCACAGTTTTACTCCAAATTCTAAATAAACAAATAAAAGCTTAAAAGCTATTGTTTACATTACAGTTCACCACAAATTATCTTTTTTTTATTGCCTTTATTTTCCCAGTATTTATTTTGGCAGTTTTGCTGTACAGTTCAATAATTTTTAAATCAGCATAAATTAAAGTCAACACAAATACTGCTATGATATAAATGATAATAATACAATTATTTTAATCATATGACTAATTCCATATTTAAATAGTATTTAAAAGTGAAATGGTATATTATTTATTTTTGCCTTAAAATAATGCCAGGGTGCATGAACAAAGTACTTAATGATCATGAAAATACTCAAAATCCATGAATAATAATTATTTTGCTAAATGTTAAAAGATTACATGTACATTAAGGGGGAAAAAAGATTCTGATACAATACGGAGATGCATGAAGGCTCACATTGGAGCCTTCATCCATCTGTCTTTCAACAGTTTGTCTGCTGAAAGGGGTTAAATCACTGTAATGTCAAAACAAATGAATAAATCAATTATAATGACATTGTTATGCAACACTAAAACAATGCTTTACTGCTGACCTCTAGAACCATAAATATTTTTTCAATAATTATTATTTAATAAATAATACCTAATATTTATTAATAATTATAAATATATTAAGTATTAAATGAATAAATGAAACGTGTTTATGAATGACACTTAAAATGTATTCTATTATATATTTTGACATTATTTAAAATTATATATATATATATATATATATATATATATATATTTA